ATAAACATAGGAAAGTAAGACGCAGATGGATGAATAATTGAGTTGCCACGTTTGGGCGTGGCTTGATTAGTTGTAGATGTTGCCACCTACAATGCAGTCACTACCGTAGCAGCTGATGTAGGATGTATTGATCCCGACTTAAAACACTTACAGGAATGTCACTGGCTAATGATTAATTCTGTCCATAACGAGCTGTGGTATGCAACATTACATCCCAGTTGAGTTGTCTCCCTTTGAGCTGGCTCGTTTTGCATGATGCTAGTATAAAAAAAGCCGTTGAACATTCTTACCAAGCACTTGTCTCCAAATGGCGATTATATTATCATGCTATCCTTAGCCTTGGGATATTCTACAAAAAAATCACTACTACCCGTTTTGTGTTGATAAAGATAACTTGAATGCAATAGATCTGCTGGTCCGGGAACAAATATAATGCGCCTTTGAGCAGATATTAATACCTGGATATCTGTGGTATATAAATGTTTAATACAATACAATACAACTATAAAGACAGTGGTGTTGTGTTCGGAAAGGAATTTCTATTGGGACGTATTGAGGTCACATGTTACTTTAGGTCTGCCAGCCTTTGGGTATAGGTCCATGGCTTCCTTTAATTCCCCACTGAAGTATACAACTTCAGCATGGACTCTCCTAGTTTCTGTTTATTTTACATGATCTTAATGTGTATCTGGTCCTGTTGTGTTAGAATGGTGTATTTAAAGGGACAGGACGTCGACCGTTCTGAAGCTTTGTTTGTAAACAGTAGCTGATAACCCTCGGTCTAACACTCCTCTTTTTCCATTTCGGCTCCAGTGACCACACCGCAGCACAGGTGAAGGCTTATCACGTGACCAGACTTTCCTCTTGTTTGTTATATGCTTGTCATACGAGGCGACTAACTGGATCGGGTGTTTTCCACAGACATCAGGCTCAGTCATGGGGGGCGGTCGGGTAGCCTAGTGGTTAAAGCGTTAGCTCGTCATGCTGAAGACCCGGGTTCAATTCCCGACATGGGTACAATGTGTGAAGCCCATTTCTGGTGTCCCCCACCGTGATATTGTTGGAATATTGCTAAAAGCGGCGTAAAACCATACTCACTCACTCAGGCTGTCATGCTGTGATTATGGTGGTATGACTGAAATATTGTTGAAAGTGGTGTTAAATCATACTCCAACAGGGACCCTGACACTACAATCTACTAAATATCATGCACAGACAATTTGGAGATATGCTTTTTTTGGTCGTTGCTGAAAAAATATTCAGTATTGCAATATGTTTATCACTGGCAGTGTTGACACAGACGGGTGTATATGGCAGTATATTGCAATACATTTATCACTGGCAGTGTAAACACAGACGGGTGTATATGGCAGTATATTGCAATACATTTATCACTGGCAGTGTTAACACAGACGTGTGTATATGGCATTTTATTGTAATACGTTTATCACTGGCAGTGTTAACACAGATGTGTGTATATGCCAGTATATTGCAATATGTTTATCTCTAGCAGTGTAAACACAGATGTGTGTATATGGCAGTATATTGCAATACGTTTATCACTGGCAGTGTTGACACAGACGTGTGTATATGGCAGTATATTGCAATACGTTTATCACTGACAGTGTTAACACAGACGGTTGAAATGTCAGGTTACTGCGACTTCGGTCTGATGGCGATTAAATATTCATCTGGAGTTGACATTTATAGACGACATCTATTGATTACTGGGTGATGGCCTTGTCTTAGCGGGGACAGTCATGTCTCAGTGTACTCTTGTGGAGACAGGTCATTCATGTACACATTGTACAGGCAGGTGTCTGCTGAAGATCATGCATTGTACATGCAGGTGTGTGCTGAAGATCATGCATTGTACATGCAGGTGTCTGCTGAAGATCATGCATTGTACATGCAGGTGTCTGCTGAAGATCATGCATTGTACATGCAGGTGTATGGGCTGAAGATCGTTCATTGTACATGCAGGTGTGTGCTGAAGATCATGCATTGTACATGCAGGTGTGTGGGCTGAAGATCATGCATTGTACCTGCAGGTGTCTGCTGAAGATCATGCATTGTACATGCAGGTGTCTGCTGAAGATCATGCATTGTAATTGCATGTGTCTGCTGAAGATCATGCATTGTACATGCACGTGTGTGGGCTGAAGATCATGCATTGTACATGCAGGTGTGCTGAAGATCATGCATTGTACATGCAGGTGTGCTGAAGATCATGCATTGTACATGCATGTGTCTGCTGAAGATCATGCATTGTAATTGCATGTGTCTGCTGAAGATCATGCATTGTACATGCACGTGTGTGGGCTGAAGATCATGCATTGTACACGCAGGTGTGCTGAAGATCATGCATTGTACATGCAGGTGTGCTGAAGATCATGCATTGTACATGCAGGTGTCTGCTGGAGATCATGCATTGTACACGCAGGTGTCTCCTGAAGATCGTGCATTGTACATGCAGGTGTCTGCTGAAGATCAGAAAGTCAGAAATTAGCACTAGTCCTTTTGTCCTTACCAAACTGCTCAATAGTTAAGGTATAATAAGGACCAGTAGATATTTGCCCCATTTAAGAATAGTTTGCTATATGTTATCATTAACAGGACTAGTGGACTAAAAATCTTAGTTTCTACCACTGTCATGCATGTATGCATTTTACATCAGCGATCACTATTGGGGCTTTTTTCACTATTGCAATTGTATTGTGATGGGAGTAAACAAACTTTGATGCTTGATAATTCTATTAATCCATGTTATAGAAATGAATAAAGAAATGCTGACATTCTCAATGACATAATTATCCCCGGTCTAAAGTGGGGCGGTCGGGTAGCCAAGTGGTTAAAGCGTTCGCTCGTCACGCCGACGACCCCGGTTTGATTCCCGACATGGGTACAAGGTGTGAAGCCCATTTCTGGTGTTCCCCGCCATGATATTGATGAAATAATGCTAAAAGCTCACTCACTCACTCACCTAGTCTGAAGTTGTCATTATGGAATCTGAAACTGGCGTTTGAAATAGGCAAGGTGTATGCATTCGTTATTACTGTTGAAACTATCGATTGTTGTGCATACTGTCAACAACACTATTGTCATTTTTAAATTCCTATTTATGTACATAGCTCGAACTCGGTTATTGCGTGTGGTAATGCATAGCTCCCAATATTTACTTACAATTTTTGATAAACTCTAGTATTACTATCATGGCGGTAGACACAATTTTATGGATAACAACTTCTTTAATACTGTAAAAAGCAACGTTTCGGTATAGATCCTTATACCGTTGTCAAGCAAGTTGCTGTCCATAAAATTGTGTCTACCGTGTCATCTGTCAACTTCTAAGTAATGCCTATCAAACAATACTATCGCGGAGCAAACAATTGCATTGAACAAGCAGGTGTGTGTTGACAAGATGTGGATCATGGCGGCTGATCAACTATGTGATGTCACACACCCCCCTTAATGTAGCATACCAAGCATCCATTGATTCAGAAGCTTATTGTGTGATCACCAAAAGTAAACATGTTACAAAACTATTTAAAAAAGTCTCATTTGGTGACACATTTTCATCTAAATTTCTATTTCCAAACAAAAATAGTCAAATCACAAAATCTTTAAAAAATACCGTATACGACGTAATAAGCGCCCAGGGCGCTCTTAAAATTAGAAACATGGGGCTCTTATTAGAATATTATTTTGGTGAAAAAAAACAGTGTTGAAAGATAAATTTCGTGGTTTATGCTGACAGCCTGAAATGTTTATATACGACAGATATATTTTTCCAGAATTTAATTGCCCATAATTAAGGGTGCATATAACACACGAGTGCGTAATATACGCGAATAAATAAGTCTTGTGTACATTGATCAATCGGAAGGGGTGCTAATTGGGATTGTTCACTAGCCAATATATTAGCAAATATTGCCGTGGGCGCTTATTAGAGCGGGGCGCTTATTACGTCAAATACGGTATGTGTATCTGTGTGTGAATACAGAAGTTGATCATCCATAACAGACAGACAGACAGACAGACAGACAGACAGACAGACAGATAGATTTATTGTATAAGGCCATTTGACCCATTGTACAAAATACATTTACATTATATTTATCTAAGAGTTACCTAATTGATACTTTTGTTGTTGAGAAAACGTACATTAGAAATTTTGTAAAATTTATCATTGTATCGTTGTTGGATAGTTGACAGTCTTTCTAAACAAAAATAATTATGATTAACTGTCTTTGGGATATACATTTCCCGCCGACTTGCATAAAAAGGACAATTGTATATAACATGAAGTTCATCCATAACACTCTCTTGTCATCAGTTTGTCTGGTGATAGGCTTGAGTAACATGTCAGTTAGGGCCGGGACGGGTAACCCGGGTACTTGGGTCGGATGGGTCCTCAGTAGGACCCGAGTACCCACAGTACTACCCGGACCCAAGTACCCACAGTACTACCTGGACCCGAGTACCCACAGTACTACCCGGACCCGAGTACCCACAGTACTACCCGGACCCGAGTACCCACAGTACTACCCGGACCCGAGTACCCACAGTACTACCCGGAATTGTGGTTAGTCATGTGATATATTGTTTGATGACAAAACCTCACTATAGCTCAGTGGTTACACGACAAGCCGCTAATGTTCGCATTTCTGTCTGACGATGCACACATTCCTTTTGACTTGTATATGTTTGAGTAAAGATAAAGCTTCAGTCAACTTCAGTGTGTGCATGATCTGATCGTTTCATAAGATCATATATCTATTATATAGTCTCTGGTTTCATACATGTATCTAAAGAGTTTTTGCCAGGGCTACAGTTTAACTATTCCCAGTTAGACATTATGTTCCCAACTCTTGAGACCTACGGTCGGTACCCGGATAGGGTCGGGTAATAGGGGGTCGGGTACCCGGGTAGTAAATTTGGACTAGTCCCAGCCCTAATGTCAGTGGTCAGTTGTAGAACTTTCATTGTGTCTTCTTTAGATCCGCTCCCGATGAGATGTCGAGCATTGCCGCAGTCATTCTGGCAGCAGCCCAACGTTCCCCACCAGGTGTCGCCGGGAACAATGTTCCCCGTTCTCCCACCGCTCATGAACGGGGGAACGGAAGAAGACACAATAGGTGAGAACATTAAACTGACAGATTCGAGTTCAAAATATTAGCACTTTTATTTCATGTGTTTATATCCTTCCATGACAGATTAACTCAGTCAACAGATTTCACAGGAATGTGTGGCAGATTTGTGGCCCCCAAGACCCTGTTCTTTGTGTTAACGGGACTAAAACAGGATCTGACAATAGAGTGAGTGAGTGAGTGAGTGAGTGAGTATGTTATCATTATAAGGACTAGTGGACAAAAACCGTTAGTTTCTAACCCTGACGGGTATGGTGCTGACAAACCTAGAAACATAATCGGGGCGAGCCGGGATTCGAACTCTGACTATAGGCATATAGGAGCAGTGGGGTAGCCTAGTGGGTAAAGTGTTCGATCGTCATGCTGAAGGCCCGGGTTCAATTCCCCACATGGGTACAATATGTGAAGCCAATTTCTGTCGTGTCCCCGGCCGTGATATTGCTGGAATATTCACTCACTCACTCACTCATTCACTCACTCACTCACTCACTCACTCACTCACTCACTCACTCACTCACTCACTCACTCACTCACTCACTCAAGGTTGCTTCACTTGCAACCTAATTTTCACAGCTGGGAACAGTTGTCAAGAAACCCATATGTTAATTTTATTATTGTTGCTGAAGCTATTTTGAGCTCATCTTGGGTTCAAATCCCGCCAAATCATTGTATACCTAGGAACTGCAATCTATTATGCAGAGTTGTGTCCCTTCACTGTGACAGGATAAGCTCATCTTGGGTTTGAATCCCACCATCTAGATTATGGTCTGTCAGCACCATAACTGTGGACAGTACAACCCAATTTCAAAGTGTATACATTCATTTGACTGGCAGTTCTATGTTAAGAACAGCATGATGCTCAATTCACTTATTGTTACAAGAGAGGCCATTCTCTTTGTAAAGTTAGTCTCTAATTAACTCAGTAAATGACATCACATTTGACATAACAGCTTGTATATCCTTCACATGATGTCGACAAGAACAGGAATTCCATTTGTTGTGTAAAAAAATGAACATTAACAATGCCCTTGTAAATGTGAAAACTACCATCATGAGAGCTATTCATCTTGTATATGTAGAAGGAAATCAATATCATGGGACAGAAATTTGACATTTGACAAATAAGGACATTGATACATTCATATTACAAATGGACCCATGAAGATCCGGGGTAGAATTGATCTTCAGCAACCCATGCTTACCGTAAAAGGCGACTATGCTTGTCATAAGAGGTGACTAACAGGATTGGGTGGTAAGACTCGCTGACTTGGTTGATGCCTGTCGTCGTATCCCAATTGCCTGGATTGATGTTCATGATGTCAATCACTGGATTGTGTGGTCCAGACTTGATTATCTACAGACCACTGTCATATAGCTGGAATATTGCTGAGAGCGGCGTTAAACAACAAACAAACAAATCACATTACAAATGAACACTTTTATGAATTGATAAGACAAATCATTCGGGTGAGTCCACTTAATATTCAGTGGGTGGTGGGCGCTGGAATTTTTATTTGAATATATTTTTTCGGTCACTGATTCAAGACATGTAATACTTTTATCTCTGAAAGACGCACAAATGTCTCTTTCACTCACAGAAATAAATAAATAAATTTATTTATTTATTTATTTATTTATTTATTTATTTATTTATTTATTTATTTATTTATTTTAAATTTATTTATTTATTTAGTAGCACCAAAGGACAATAGTTTTTGAGCATTTTTATAAAACAGATAATGTTTCTCTTGGAATTCACGAGAAAATAAGGCAGCCGAATATTCTTCCGTCTGGAATAGTTAAACACACGGCAGTGAGCTTTGTAGGGGGTGAGGTTTGGATTTCATAGGCAAAAAAGTTGTTGGAAAATCTCCAGAATCACTTGGCTGTGTGTAGAGCTGTTCTGTCTGCAACAGGATAGTGCTCGACATTCCTGAAGCGTGTACACTGGTTAAAGTATGACCTCCTAGGTCCTCCCTCATGGCCAGTCAGAGTTGTATGTGAGGGCTTAGGGTTAGAGTAACATTTAATCCAAGAAATAAATTATCTCATTTAGAAATATATCAACAAAATACAGAATGGAGCTCCAAACAATGCTTAATTTAGAGCTGAGGCAAGCTAGACTTGCCAAATCATTTTAGACATAAATTGGTTTCATGTTTTAATATTTTCAAGTATTGTATCAGGACCAGTTTGTCGAGATAAGTATCATATCGGGACCATTGTATTGAGATAAGTTTCGTATCGGTACCATTGTAACAAGATAAGTTTCATATCAGGACCATTGTATCGAGATAAGTTTCGTATCGGGACCATTGTATCGAGATAAGTTTCATATCGGGACCATTGTATCGAGATAAGTTTCATATCAGGACTAGTTTGTAGAGATAAGTATCATATCGAGACCAGTTTGTCAATTTAAGTATTGTGACCAGTGTATTGAGATAATATCATATAGTGACCAGTTTGTCGACATGAGCACCGTATCGTGACAATTGTATCCAGATATGTATCTATCATGATCAAGGTAACGCCATAAGCATTGCAATTTTGTATTATGATCAGTGAATCGAGATAAGCATTGCGATTTTGTATTGTAATCATTGAATCGAGATAAGTATGATCTACCGTGACCAGTGTATCACGATAAGTATTGTGCTGTTCTGTATTGTTGCTCCTCTAACAAGAATATTGCCGACTGGGGTGTTACACGACAACAATCAAACAAACACATCCTGGTGAGCTGGTATGTTCGCTATCCGCCTGACCATTACATCGACAACTTTTTCTGTAATCTTTCTCTAATCCTGTAAGATGAGTTTGGAAATAGCTCCTAGATCTAGTGTTTTCTGTAATCTCCTTACTGGCTTCATCCATGGTGGCCATGAGCTGCTTGTAATACCGCCTCTGTGTCCGCCTTTGTCCAGGATTAGCTATTGATTTGATGTGATTGGGATCAATTGACTGAAATAATCGCCATTGATTGATTTCTCCCAAACATGCTTAATTTAGACTTCAGAGAGAAGGTGCCCGTGATGGATGGAAATATATGAGATTGTGAGTCATTATACCGCGGAATAAAGGGTTTTGTTATTGCGTTATGTATCGTATCGTCATTAGTTCCTGAATGTTATTCAACCATATATGAGTTGATAAGAAAATAATTTTTCTCTGAATGGTGTGTGAGGTTGTACTGAGTAATTGTTCTGATTAGCATATATTGCCATACTGCCATTGCCTTCTATTCAAATGATAGAGAATATAACATTATAGCGTGTAGAATTGATCGGGCTCTGAGTTTGTGATCACTTCGAATTTACACGTTGACAGTCCAGTTTCCATAATGGTTTTCCAGATCGCGGTCACATTTAAAACAAGGGCGGTCAGGTAGCCTAGTGGTTAAAGCGTTCGCTTGTCACGCCGAAGACCCGGGTTCGATTCCCGACATGGGTACAATGTGTGAAGCCCATTTCTGGTGTCCCCCGCCGTGATATTGCTGGAATATTGCTAAAAGCAGCGTAAAACCTCACTCACTCACTCACTCATCTAAAACAAACGTGTTAAGGATTAATTCATATTCCTCCTCATTATACCAAACCAAATGTTTCCCCATAGACTTCTATGCATCATTTTTTTAAAAATAACTAGTCATTCACCAGCTATTGCATGTACAATACATGCATTCACAGCCTGGCCTTCAGGCTGCAATACAAACACAAATTTTGATGAGCCTAGCCAGTTCCTTTTCCGAGTTGACCGCCTCCGTGGTCTAGTGGTAGAGTGACCGCCTCCGTGGTCTAGTGGTAGAGTGACCGCCTCCGTGGTCTAGTGGTAGAGTGACCGCCTCCGTGGTCTAGTGGTAGAGTGACCGCCTCCGTGGTCTAGTGGCAGAGTGACCGCCTCCGTGGTCCAGTGGTAGAGTGACCGCCTCCGTGGTCCAGTGGTAGAGTGACCGCCTCCGTGGTCTAGTGGTAGAGTGACCGCCTCCGTGGTCCAGTGGTAGAGCGTCCACCCGGAGAGCGGAAGGTCCGGGGTTCGATCCCCGGCCGCGTCATACCAAAAGACGTTTAAAGATAGTACTTGTTGTTACCCTGTCTGGTGCTCGGCATTAAGGGGCTAAAACAAGGACTGGTCAGCTCGGAGTCCGTATACTGTGTCTGAGTGGGGTATTCATGTTAAACTGCGGCATGGTATCTCAGTGAGCTAGCACTATAAATCGGCATCAGTCCTGACTAGTACAAGCAGCCACACAAACACACACGTATGTGCACATCGCTATATAAGTGCAATAATCTTGGACGTGACGTTAAACCCCATTTCACCTCACCTCACATTTTCGGAGTAGAGGAAGCTAAACACCCCACCCCCAGTTCCGCACCAAATGTCACTTGCTTGAAAATATGTGTTGTCACATTCAGCATAGGTCATCATGTTAAAAAAGACAATTCCGTTAGACGCTGGAGTGTATCAGATTGCAGGTGTTAATGTTAATGGAGGAAATACGGTACACAGCACGCTCTGGAGACTTGAGAATTGCTTAGTCATAGAGCACAGTTCAAGTATTGATCATAATCAATTTATGAATATTGCAAAATAGATATTTGTAAGCCATGCACATGGCGGTTAGGATCAGGACAATGTTGTTCAACTATTCCTTTTTGCAATGTATAAGTGTGCCATCAAACACAATATTGTTTTCCACCTTTGACCTTAGCAAATCGCATTGAACCATGAGCTTGTTGGCCACTTTCTGTTTTGTCAACTAAGGCGCCGCCATTCGCTGTGCAGAGTTGCATCCCCTGGACACGCCAGAAACCTATGATTGTGGGTTCAAATCCCGGTTCACCCCGATTATGTTTCTAGGTTTGTCAGCACCATACCCGTGCTCGTGGGTTTCACCGAAGTGGTAAACGTCTGAGTCCTGCATCACTTCAGGCTTTCCTCCCACATTAAGCTGACACGCCATGATAAGACTGGAATAATGTTAA